CACTCCCACCCCCCTGTGCAGTGACCTTGGAGGGCCCGAGGCATTTCTTCCAGCCCCCCTTCAGGATGTTGTGGAGTGACATCTGAGGAGCACCCTGTCTTACTGAGTAAGGTGGGGCCCAATATCCTAACGGATTAATTACAAGGGGCAGTAATGAGTCCTGATTCCTTGTGGTTAAAGAAAGATTTGCCGCAAATTTGACAAGATTTTAGCTTTTTCTGAGAAGCGTCAGCCGAGATCTAGAGTCTCTCTGGCAATTTTCAGTAACACAGTACATTCTGAATTGTTGGGGTAGGGCTTGCAATATATTGTATGGCAAAGAAGCAGAGCCTTTGGGTGTTAATGAAGAAAAAACTTTGAAGTCAATAGTTCGTAGTTGATGTGAAGGAAATGAATACAAACCCTGGTCTTAAAGATTTTCAATTAAATGAAGGCTATCTGCCTATAATTAGTTGAAATAGATAATATTTAACTGTTAAAATATTGAAATAATTTTTATCTTAGATCTGGGGTTTTACTTTTCACAATATATTGCTTGGGAAATACATTCCTGATAAGACTTGTATTCAGTAAGTAATTTTCCTGGCAAGAAGAGTAAAAAAAATCCTTCTGTATAATTTCACTAGGCATCTACATTTCCAAGCAATTTCTGAATTGGTTTCCTCTGCTATCACTAACTGACAACCTGTGATTTATGGATTTGGAATAATTGAATTTCTTGGCTGTCATATACTTGGAGTAAGAAATATTACATATGTTTCCAGAAAAAATGATTTAAGGAAGAAAAGATTGAAGTGACGCCAAGTTCTGAAACTTTATTTGGAAACTGTGTTCTAACCAAATGGTACTTAAGATGCTCTCTCTAACTTTGCGAAACGTGTTTGCTGAATAATCTTTGAAGAACCTTTGAAGTCGGTTTGAACGTAAGGTTTCTAAGCATGCTCCTTTTGAGCTAAACCAATGAAAAGAACAGAGAGCAGTGTGTTGTTCTTCTCACCTTCCCAAGCACAAGAAATGTAGAATTTTTCATTGGCGCATGGTAATAGGCTGAATCAATTTCTTCAAAAATTGGAGTTATGCAACATCTCATTTTCCCTGTCAAACAGAAAATATTTAGTATTTAGTGAAATCTTGCCATGAACAGAATTTTCTTTAAGACTTGAAATCTCTAAAGCAACTTCTCAGCTTTCCTGTGGATTTTGGCCTACACTGTATTTTTGCAAATTTTTGCTGGTTTTGCTCAGTTCATGGATTGAACTGGTCCATCAACTTCAAATTCCATGGAGTGCTCTTTCATACGTTGTATTATAATGATGATTGGCTGGCTGTGGCAGAACCTGTGTATGTACTGAGGGTCAGGAAGCAGTCCCCCTCTATGTGCTTCTGACCAGCGCTGTCCAACAGGACTTTCTGAGATGATGGAAACACACTGAACTGGTGTCCATATGTAGCTATTCAGCCCTAGGTAGGTGTCTCGTTCAGCTGAGAAACTGAATATTTGCTTTTGTTTTAATTAATTTATATTTAAGTGTAAATAATCACATGAGATAGGATACTGGCTGCTGTATCAGATAATGTAGGCAGATCTTAGAACAATGAGTTTAGGACCCTGAGCAGTTCAAGTCTCCATTCGTGGGTGGCATTAACATTGGATGCTCTGGATCATGGTCAGAGGTTTTCCTCGGTGGTTTTAAATCAGGGGCAGTGATTCTCTATCAAAGAGATAGGTAAAATTTTGTTAGGACATTTTTGGTTGTTACCACTGGGGTGTCCTCCAGGCATTAGAAGGTGGGGCCCAGAGGTGCTTAATGGCCTGAAATGTATAGGAGAGTCTGCTCAATGAATTATTGTCCACCTCAAATGCCAGTAGCAACCAATTTGATAACCCAATAGATTAGCAGAATCCTCTAAATACAGAGAGTCCTCAACTTACTTCGGGGTTACATCAGGATAAACCCATCGTAAGCTGAAAATACCATGTGAAAAATGCATTTAATATACCTAACCTACTGGCTATCAGAGCTCTTAGCCTAGCCTACCTTAAACGTGCTCAGAAAACTTGGATTATCAGGATGCGATGGCACCACAGGTCAAGGAGCATCTGTAATCGCCTTCCTTCTCACCAGAAGCAGGAGGCACACATGGGTGTTTTGCAGACATGATGGGGAGAGAAACCATAAAGCACAATATCCAGAAAATGCTGGCCAGACGGTGCACTGTAGAGTATGGGTGTTCACCCTTGTAATCCTGTGGCCAACCGGGGGTGAAGGTCGCTGCTGCGGGCCAGCGTCACCAGAGGGCATCGCCTCGTGTCGTAGCTCAGGAGCAGAGCGACGTTCAGTCTTCAAAGTGCAGTTTCTACTGCGTGTCTATAGCTTTCGCACCATCGGAAAGTTGAAAAATCCAAAGTTGAACCATTGAGAGTGAGGGACCGTCTGTATTGTGGTTTCATTTGTGAGATCTCTTGTCCTATCTACAGTTAATTCTGACTCTTATGATCTGGCCTTATTTCCTTCTGCCTCCTCAGGGACCCCGCTTTCTAATTACGCTCATTTTGTCCTGGACCTTCAACCACCCCCCCTCTCTGTCTGAGCACCCTCTAATCTCTCCTATCCCAAATCATACCTTCCCTTCTTTCCATATACTCAAGCTGGGACCATCTCTGCCTCCTGTCCCCTGCCAGTCTCAGAACAGAACATTTATTTACCTAGCTACTGGGAGAAATTATATTTTGTATCATGATGAAAGGAAAGCCCACACCATAGGTAGTTTCAAAACACACCATTTTTATTACATAGACATATCAACAGAATCATCATACCATGTTCTACTTTTAAACAATTGTATATATTTGTGTGTAGGTGTGTACACATACACACACATATATGGTTAAAAAATCCCAAGAGGAGTGCACTTTTAATCTTCGATGCTTATAATGACTGCACCTTTTGTAGCTAGTCTCTACGGCACACCACCATGCTAGTTTCACTTTTTTTTTCTATTTTAAGATCACATTACTTTTCCCCGAGGGCAGGCTCATACGAAAGCTGTAATGCAGACACTTAAAAATATTCGAGTCCGTAGTTCAATAATGTATTGTGAAAATTAGATTTTCAAGTACTGCAACAATGTCTTCCTAATTTCCTCTACCTATCTCAGAAAGAGTTACTACACGTCCCAAACATATCACTGTAAATAACTGAGCCCTGAAAATATTGGGTTAAAATAACTTACATTTAAAGATATAGCTATACTAGGTTAAATACACTGTAGACTATTTGGGAAATTGTGATGATTGTATTTCTTCTTAACTCTATGTCAAAGCAGCGATATGCCTACTTTTGTCCTATAAGTGTGATTTCATAAATTATTTCAAAGGCTTTAAAACTTCTGACTGATGCATTATAACTCTCTATTGTGCAAACATGTCTACAAAGAGATGCCACCCCAAATTAGAGTTGGTGGCTATTCTTTCAGTACAAGGTGACAGCCTTGGAAAAATCCAGTAGGGCCACATACACATAAAATATCTTCACTGCATAGTTTAGATTCTCAGAAACAAAGATCATGCCTGCTTGTGACACCCGATGGATGGTGCTGACGTCGATTCCCTCTCTGAGGTCGCATTTATGGAAACTTCTGTAATCTACTGGATAATGAAGTTATCCAAGTGAGTTGGGAGACTTCAAAATCTACACCACACAACCATACTCGAGTTATTTCTTTTGACTGGATACAGCCAGAAATTTGTTACGAGCTGATTTAAATATGGTAGGTGATGGTTGTGCCACTCTAAAACTAAAAGACCTTTCCATTTCCATGAACTGGAATTATTATTTTCTTAGCACAATTAAAACTCCTATTTTGTTTCTAAGTTATAACATGTTCTCATACTGGATATTAAAGATGTTAGTTTACCTTATGGTTCAGTAGGCAACTCATAAAAAATGAGTCAAAAATTGATTAGCTTTGGGGAAAAATAAAAGTATGCAATGCAGTGAGAGTTATATATTTAAAAATATCAGAGTTCTTTATCTGCTGCCAGAGGTTATGTTCTCATAAAATTTTCAAAGACCATGCTGTTTTCTTGCCTATAGATATTGTCTCAGGTTGCTATTTTAACATTTCATCATGGAAGGATTGAGTCTTGCTATGTAAATGTGAGCCTATCTTTTTATTTCCTTCTACAGAGAACTCTTTCAGGTTCTTTGGATATATGCATTCTTAAAAATGTTTTGTCTGTATTATTTCATGTGAACTGTAAAGCAAACAAAACAGTAAATTAAATTATAGCAAAACTAATTGTAGCCTCACCATCTGGGCCTACTTCATCCATTCTTTTATATAATTTAATTGGGCTCTAAAGTGTTTAAAATGCAAATATCATGAATAATCATAAATAATTATGTGAAAGTATGTGATTTAAAGTTATGTTTATAAATCAATATTAATTATTATTACATAAAATACCATAATAATAGTAAAACAGCCAAATAAGTAAATTACCTTTGTAGTATACTGTTCAGATCACTCAACTCTCTAAAGCTCAGCCACAATGATTTTTACACACAGCAGACATAATAAAAAGAATGAAAATGAACAAATTTAGCTGAAATTAAAATGTGATTTCGTAGGCATAGAAAACCCTCGAACAATTGCTTTCCCATCTCTGTGGGTATGGAATCTTGCTAACACAACCCCACAGCATCACAATTTCTTTTCTACTACCTACTTACATTCACAAATGCTATAAATATGTGCTGTATATATTTTCAATATTTACAGTATATATACGCACATACACACACATACTTTATTTTATTCTTAGGCTCATTCATGAATGTGCAGATCCATCTTCGCAGGATGATCCACACATGTTCATTTGCCTTAAATGATATTCATTTACAACTTTTCACTGTTGTGCAAAAATGCAAAAATATCATACAGGTTAGTATTCTCTCTCTAAAAAAAATCTTTTTTTAGGCTTTAAGTGTTTTGTCATTTACAAATAAATTATGAAATATAGTTCATTCACAAGTTGAAAATAATTACAATGTTTTTACAAGAAGGCATTGCTGAGGTTTTGAATCGTGGTGTCCTTGAAGCCATCGTCTTTCAAAGCAAAGACATCAATAAGTTGTTGTTTCTTGATATTTGCACTTTTTGATTACTGATAATGAAGTACGTCATGACAAATCTACACTCATGCTAGTCAAATAGTGTTTGTATAGAATAGGAATCTTTCTATTTTATCTATTCCTTTTTTTCCTGAAAAGTCTTTTTTAGAACCATCTGGAAAATGTTGAAATTACTGTACTAGGACATTTCTGGAAATTTGTCCACCCAATAAAAAAAGCTGAAGACATAAGTGAGGCAAAATTGAGAAAGAATAATTTTAGTGGGTGTTCAGGGGAGATAACAGCAAATGCAGGAACTGTTTTAGTTTTATCTCCTAGTCCTTTGGTATTTCCTTGCCTCATGAAAAATCCTAAAAAAATGTTCAGTTCTTTAAAACATTGATTATACTCTTCCATTAAATATTAGGTGTGGTCCTCCATTGCTCATGTTGTCTGTAATTTCCTGTTAGGAAAAAAACATCAGTTAATTAACGTTTCTTTCAGAGTGAGACATTGATTTGGTTAATGGGTTTGCAAAACAGAAATTTCAAGCCATTGAAAAACTTGCTGAGCTTTGGGGAAGGTCAAGGATTGATATTGGTGTTGCTTTTGAGGAAATGAAATTTCATGGCATCTCAGGGCACATGAAAATGCTGAAGTGACAGTCTAAGAGACCAAAGTCTTCTGCCCACAAAACAGTTCAACCTCTCCCAAGTCCCGAGTTTCCCCTTTTGTTCCTCAACTCTCTTTTGGAAAGACCTCACCTAGAAAGAAGAAGATGGTTATATGCCCAAGTTTCTCCAATGCACAGGCTCCTCTGCTGAGCATGTCAACCAAGAGCCAACTAGGGGTGACCTTCATTCTATAGAAAAGTGTGTGGCCTTTTTGCTAAGAACTGAAAAAGGCCCATAGGGGATCATTGCTTACTTGTAACTATGGCTCACTAATAAATCACAATGGAAAGTATTTTTCATGACACTGTCACTCATGCACTAAAAATAAAAAAAAAAGTAAAACTCTTGACATGTTTTTTAAAGTATCAGTTACTTAGTTAATAAGGAAAACTACAAGGGAAGGCAATAAAAATTCAAATATAAAAGGTGACCTAACATAAAAAGTTCCATTTGCAACGATAGAAAACATGTTAATTTAATAAAAATTAAGAAGTTTTGAATGCGTGTCTTATTAAACATTAACCTCTTCCCTACACAATAAAAGGTAGTGAGGTGATGTGAGGCCGTCCACATTTACAATGGCTAGAGCACCATATTATAAATAATATTTAGACAAAAGTGTCTAAAAGTAGATGACAACATCTTTCCTTACTTGAACAAGCCTATTTGCAACAACTCGGTAAAGAATGATTCCAGTGGAAATTATTTTCTCAATTATTTCATGCCTATCAGTTTATATCTACTTTCAGTTTAGATGAATTAACAATTACAAAATAAAGTGTTTGCTTTTATAAACTTTAGAAATTCTCCCAAATATTTATTTGAAAATGAAAAGTTATCCATGACTCATTTTTAGTTTTTCTCTCTTTGAAAAGTCAATACAGAAGGTAAAACAGAGTGAAAACACTTGCTTTTTTGGATTGGGTGGTTTGGAAAGTTGCTTAGGAGGAGCAATGAAGGACTTGAAGTTAGGAATTGGCCTGGCATTGGAGCTTTACTTTTGAAAACTTTGGGGTCTTTTAAAAGAGGGGGTAGAATTTCTGCCAAGAAAATTCTGGGAATGGAGACACTAGGCATTGGAAAGCTTTCCTCTCACATCAAGACCTCTCCTTGCATGCAAAGTGCCCTGGTCCCTTCCAGACTCTAAGGGGTTGGTTGTCTTGTCCCTGAGCATCCATTATACCTCCCCTAGTAAGATGCTAAGAAATTACCAGGGAAGAAAAAACCTAAAAACTCAAAGTCCTTTAGGATAAAGGCTCTGGCAGGAAATGGGAGAGCATCCCCCAGAGCCAGCCAACAGCCTCTCTGGTCTGGTGATGGTTCAGCTCATTGAGGGACTGGCTCTAGAGATGGGTGATGTGGAAGTAGGTCTAAAAATACACTGAGATTACTGAGCTTTGGTTAAATTAGTAGATAAGAGGCTGATTGGTGTCTTCATTCAAGAACTCAGTGTTCATGGCAACATAAGTAGAAATAATCCCTCCAAAACAAAACACTCATACATCTTTTCCTACTTCTCCTACTAGAACAAAAATACAATTTCCTAATGAATTTATAAGAAGTAAGTTTCTTAGGTTTCTTTTCATCTCCTAAAATGATTTTGCATTGAAAATGTAGCTTCAAAACCATTTTAAAAACTAGTCTAATAATGTATATTTTATTGCAGGATTTTTAAAAAGCCAGTTTTAAAAAATCTTACCAAAAGCAAAAGAATTTTTAAACTAAATTCACCCTAATATAGATACAATAAAATTACCGATTGAAAATAACAGTGAAAATCAGTTTTTAGATGGATGAATATCTTGTTTACTTGCAAGTAGGCGTGTCCAATTTAACAAGAAGATTACACTCTAAATTTGGGCCTGACCAAATGGGAGCAATTGCAAATGGACATACTTCCTGTAATTGGGCCACAGTATCTCTGCGACTTTCTGTATTTCCAATCATATTGTTTAATCAAACCAAGAATGGCAACTATTTTCAGCAACCCAAATAAGGGAGAGAAATCTGAAATGTATGACATCAGATAGTTTTACAAGAAGAAAGTTTCCATACAGCGTTTTTACTGTATTAGTGCCAGACTTCTCCGCTCATGCAGTTTTGGCAGAAGGCAGATACAGTGTGTCTTTATCAGATCCATCTATTATTAAAAACAAAACTCTGGTCTGGGAAGGATGAGACTGAGTCAGGATCATGATGTAGCAGAGAAGAGAGGAGTTGGGAATCATCCAAGCAGAAATGTGTTTGGATGCTTAGAAGCAGGCTGAATATTTCAAATACTCAACCAAGTTTCAAGCTGCAAAACTCTGCACGTAGATTATGTCGGGTCCTCAAAGTCACTCTCGTGAAAGCGGTACTTTGAGGAACCACATCCAGCACCAGTTGAGGGGGATCTGCTGACGCCATGGCTTCCTCAAAGAGGCAGCACTTTGGGCAGTGACATTACAACATGGTAACTCCCTAGAAATCAGCGTACCTTGTAGGTAACTCTGGTGTCGGGGGCACCACCGGGCAGCTGGGCAAGTCGGTTATTTCAATAGCCCTCAATCTCTAATATAAATATAACAATTACACAGTAAATATTGCACAGACATATACACACAAAAACTAAATCACACTAGCATAAAAAAAATGAGCATGAAATAGCCACTATCCAAATAGATAAAGATAACCTATTTTGAACAACCCATTTCTGTAAATGACCAGTCTTGCTGTCTGTACTATTAACCCTTTTTTGAAGGTTACATGTAAATCTGTTTAAAATTGCTCCTTGAAACCATTTAAGACCACTTACTCTCCTCATTGGAATGCCTAGATTGTGTACAAAATAGAAACACATAAAACTACAGAATAAATACATTTTCTTCAAAATAACATCATGTAGAACTATAAACAGTAACTGTTGCTATTCTTTCTTCTATTCTGTGGTTATTATGCAGTTTTATTTCCCTGATATCAAGTAAAATATGATGTAGCCATTATCTTAGTGAGTTTATGTCACAGATGCTTGACTTTTCCTTAATAGATCCAGTAGGAGGAACTAAATTTTAAAATATGCACAAATATAGTAGAAACACAGACAGCTCACTATATCTTTTGTCCTTTCCTGTGGCAAATGTCGTTTCCTGTCTGAATGGGTTTCATGAAACAATTATGCAAGGAACATTGTTTAAAACACAGGCAAAGCCACCCAAATATGCATGAAGTGCAGATGAGAGTTAAGTGAAGCTTTCTGTGAATTGTAATTTCTGCACTGATAGGCAAGGCTTTTTGTCGCCTTATTAAAAGGCCCTTTTATGCTTGAAAATCAAATTTACATAATCACATGCATCTACTTACAGGCACAAGGGGTGGGCTAGAAAGGCGAATTCATTGGATTTCTAAAACTGGCATTATTGAGTGGAGAGTGTATTTAGGGCCTTTCCTCAGTAAAATACACACACACACAAATCCATATTTATAAGACACTTAATATTTTATGAAATCCTATTTTAGGAACTGTGTTTTTGTATAAAGAGGCTACAAAATTATGTTGAAAACGGGCGTAACCAGGATTGCAGAGAAAGAAATAATACATTCCTAACCTTAGTCCAATAGGATGGACATTTCATAAAGTCTAACTCCTCCCATTCTCATCTAAAGCTCCAAGCGGGCCCCCCTAGGTTGGACAGTGGCCCTGGCCACATACCAGCCGCGAGGGGACCGGGCCGGGGACTCACTTTCTCAGCCATCTCGTGGGAGTGGTGCAGCGAGTGCTCCCTCTCCGAGAACATTCTCCGCTGCTCGTAGCTGGCCAGCCGGCAAGTGAGCCACGAGGAGAGGGTGCAGCCCCCGATCCCGATGCACGCCAGGGACATGGAGGCCAGGTGCAGAGGGTAGAGGGACGAGGTCCTCTTTGTCACTGCCCGGAGGAACTGGAAGTTCAGGATGCCCCCGATGAGCCCACAGATGCAGCAGGCCGAAAAGAGGATCATCTGATGAGACAAAGGGAAGCTGTGCTCACCTCGAGAAGGGGTGGCCCAGCCGCAGCAAGGGCCAGGTGCTCTTGGGGCTCCCCAGAGCCCGGGGGCTATGCTTTCACCAAGACCCTGTGCGCTGCGACTCGATAGGCCACAGGGTCTCAGGGTTCAGAGCTGACTGTGCGTGAGGCCAGGGACACATCTTATGAAAACCCTGAAGTAAGCAAGACCTGTCCTCTCGGGAGATTCAGATTCAAATTATATGCATTTAATATCTGTTGTGGGCTACTATGCTGGAACTTGAATGGACATCATCTCGATGAACCCACTCAGCAGTCCTCTGAGAGGCAGGTAACGGTCGGACTCAGGAACTGAACCCGTATCTTCTGACTCCAGATCCTGTTTCGCTACGTGAAGCTCCCCGGCCCCGAAGTCTAAAGATCTTTTCGTTGAATTACCATTAGTTCCACAAGCCTTCAAATCTTTATCCTTCTCTAGCTTTGTGATCTTAGGGAATGTAGTTGAGTATTTAATTTATAAAAATTTCCCCAATGGCCCAGGCAGCATGGCTCAGCGGTTGCGCGTCGACCTAGGATCCAGGCAGTCAGGGTTCGAGTCCCAGTCAGAGCACATGCCCGGGTTGCGGGTTTGATCCCCAGTTGGGGGCGTGCGGGAGGCATTGATGTTTCTACCCCTCTCTCCCTCTCCCTTCCTCTCTCTGAAATCAGTAAAGACCTATTTTTTTTAAAAAAGTAATTCCCCAACAGGAGGTTCAAGGATTCTCCATGAACTGACCCTTTATCTTATAAATCTTTCGTTACTATGTGGCACCACAGTGAAGCATACACAATAGATATTCCAAAAATAAACATGGACTGGTTGCTTTTGATCTTGCTATTGTCTTGATCTGGGTCTCTATTGATAGAGCCAAAGTGTTTCATTTTTTTATTCAATATCAATATCACAGGGTCTCTGGTAGAACAGAGTATAGCGCCTTCTGTGTAGTAAATGTTCTGTGAATATTTAATAAATTTAATTGAATATTCTAATAGCCATAGAGTCTTGGTAGAAAATATATAGAAAGAATGAAAGCCATGTCTAAGACTAGCTGCAAATTATAAGCCTCCAAGAAAAAAAAAAATTATCCAAAGGCTTCCCTTTGTGTAACTTTTAAATAAACAAAATAACTACACTACTCCTCATTCTCTGCCCTCCTCAGATAACTGGTCTCCCCTTGGAAACTCTTTTTAGGCTCAAAGATCATTTCCTAGGGTCCACATGTAGCATTCATTTTTCCAATCTTTAAAGGTCTGTGAACTTTCCTATTGTACTCAATAAAATAAACCATGCTTTTTCCTTCTTTCCAAACTCTCATAAAATGACATGCAAGGCAGTGGGGAATCCACACTCGAGCACGCAGAAGTTGTCCTCCAGCCAACACCGGAGTTAACTGGGAGCATGTTCCATACCCCTGAAACCCATGATAGTGCCATAAAACATCTGAAAACACTTACATTTGCATTCACAGTAATAAAATAAAATAAAGTAAAACATCTTTGGGAATTAACTGTAACTATAACAACACAGCTGTTTCACTGCTTTGTAAAATTAACTTCACAGTCAAACAAAGCCAGCAATCCTTAGGCCCAGTTCCATATTTAAACAGTTAAATTTCCCATGAACTCAAGTTATGTCTTTTTCAGCTTATTGAAGGATTCACGTGAATGTTTGGGAGTCTATAAATTGGAAAAGTGGAAACTGTCATCCACAGGAGTCATAAGATTGCATATTCGTGTATTTAAAGGGTATATCAAAGCTTCTCTCTCTCCCTCTCTCTCTCTCTCTCTCTCCCCCTTCTTTCTTTTCTCATAATCTCTAATAATCTTGATGGTTTTCTTTGAAAATAAAAAAGCCAGGGTTTATTTGTCAGCTTTTTTTCCTGTCCTAAATGAGTCACAGTCAACATATGAAAGCTGGCCAGTCACCACTTCCATTTTCGAGCTCTGACATTTCAAGTACTTCAATGCACAACACAAACAAGGCAGCAACTTACGACAAGGCCAGATTTCTTTTTGGCGCACAATATTCCACATATGCCACAGAGAAGAAACTGAAAAAGAAAAGAAGAACAATTATTTCACATCCAAAGATGAGAGAATGCCTAGCTTTTAGCCTGTAGTTCACTCATGGCCTTTGCTCAAGGGAAGCTGGACAAGTTTACTTTCCATTCAAAGCTGAAAAGGAAAATGCTCCTTTCCTATTGTAACTCACAAAGGCAAAAATTAAGTTGGGATTATATTCAGAAAGCCTATGACAGACAAAGGGTTAACATACTATATAAATAGATCTAACGAAATCATTGTAATACCATAAAACCATGAGAAGATAGAACTCAGAACTTGATAAAACTTGAATACTTGCATAATTTCCAGAAGTCTTAAAAGCTATTTCTGAGCGACCATTTCTCACCCCCTTCTGTGTCCTCAGTCTAGATGATCTTGTCCCCATATGGACTCTTTCTTACTGATCCCATCTCAAATCTTTCTCAGCTGGACTCAAGCCATGGGACCAATTCTGTACCTCTCAGTGCTTCCAACTTTCAGATCAAAGCCTCAGCATGTCCTTCCTCCATTCACCCTGAAAGTCCATTCACCTGGAACTCATTCTTGGAACAATTTGAAAGCAGTTCCTTGGATCTCTTTTGAAATCTATAAACATTGCCATTATTTACTGACATCAAAGCCCGAGGGGACCTCAGGCGGGTAAGCAGAGTTCTCCACCCAGTCACTTGGTTGGAACATCTAGATGGCAATAAAATTGCTTCTTTCTATTGTCCCACTAAGGAAAGGAAGTTCAGGGCTTGGGAGGGGGAAGGCAGAGTAGGAGGGGCATCGAATAATATTTTTTTACTCTCAATCAGGCCTGGAATGGCAGCACTTCCTCATAGTTACTTTTGTTAGGATGCCCCAAATCCACATTCCTTAGAGGAAATTTGTAATCTGAGGAAAATAAACCCCTGTAATCAGAAGTATATGAAATCATGGAATTTCTGAGGATGTTTAAAGGATCTTAGATGAAGTTTAGCCATCACAGTTTATTGGAAAGTTAAAACAAGCACAAAAAGCAGCAAATGATATTTTATTTTATTGCCTGTCTTTACTCAAGCAGCACTGGAAGGGATCTTAAAAGATGACTTAACTTAGCCTTTACATGAGATGCAATTGGGGAACCAGAGGTCCAGAAAGGGCTGGTGTAGTGGCTTGCCCAAGCTTACACATCAAGGTCACAAGCCACAAACTAACAAAAGGTTTTTTATTAAGTGTCCAAGTTAATTCTAATAATCTAATAGAAATGCTTTTCAGAGGGATTTTTCAGTGCTAGTGTAGTGTATGATACTAGCAAATCCAACCAGAGGTGTTCAGTGGACACCTGATCATCTATAATGCTCTCCTTTGCCTTTTCCATTGTTAATTTTGTTATAATGAAATAATTTTGAGATTATTCAATTGTATTACAGTCTACAATTAAGAGTACCTTATTATATAGGGAATTTGTTATACTATTTCAAGATACTTTTTTTGTTGCTCAACATAGCTTTATCCAGGATGCCAAGCACTCACTCACATTATGGAAATTATAAAAAAAGTGAAAAACAATTTAGTTAAAAGAAGTAAAATTCATGGCTGAAAATATATAGATATACACACACACACATATACACACACACATATGTATATACACACACACATATATACACACACATATATATATCTTGAATTAGATATACAATTCTACAAGAGAAAATATAATTTTATTTGTGAGAAGATGGGCTGTTTAAATCCAGGGAGAGTTATTTGTTTTTCTCTATGAAATTATGTAAGTTAAGTGATCTAAAGATAGGCATTAAGTGCAACTATATAATAAAACTAGTTAATCCTCGAAGTGGAATTCATTTGATTCCAATTTAGATTAAATTCCATAGGTAACTAAGGTTGTGAACTCATTGTACGATGAAACAGAGCTCTTATGGAGGTGGCATCCTATATTTTGAGTGGATTTTCTAAATAAAACGTCCATGGACACTTCTGCTTTTGCTTAGGATATAGAAAATCCAAAGATGTTCTTTCCACCTTAACAATAAGAAAAACTAGATAAACGACAACTTTTCTAGAGCCCACCAGAGAGCTAGGTTTCCAAGGCAACGGAATAAGTCCATTTCAGATAGGGATATGCCCCTCCAAAAAAAAGTTTGGATACACAAACTGTCACGTGTCGCAGAGAGGTTGGAGGAGACACTGGTTGTCATATACGTGTATATGTGTGTGGGGGAGTGATGCAAAGCCCTGCTTCTTCCTTAGGCTTTCTTTCTTACAAGTCAAATACTTTAAGTCCTTGGCAGAGGGGCCTTTACAAATATGAAATGCTACTGAAAATAGAGAAAAAGTAAAAGAAAAACGTCTTTGTATAGGGGAAGGGGTAAACCTTCATCTTGGGCCTCACATCTTGTGCCTGCTCTAAAGGAGAGTCATCAGCCACTGGGGGGGGCAAGCACCTTGTACAAAAACCAACCACAGATACAAGGCCAAGTTTGGCGTCTCAGGGAGCAGGGTACAGAACCCACTGAGAAAGCCCTGCCCCTGAGGCCGATCACAGGGCCCTCCTACACCAAGACAGGACTAGAACAACAAAGAGCCTCATCCCTACTCCCGCCTGCCCTTGATCAAGAGCCCAGCGGGGGGGAGTAAAAAGCCACAGCAGCCTACACGGAGGGAGAGGCGAGAGGGGGAGGAGGGACACTGCGGGGACGTGAGCAGGGACACAGGAAAGCTGGGGGTGAGGCCCTGACACTGAATAATGTTAAGGCGACCACAGTTCACCGTTGATGAAAATGATAGACTGGTGCGCCAAAGACAATCATTGGAACAGTAAAATCTACTCCTTGCTAGAGTGACTCCACCTTTCACACTAACAGTGCAAAGAAGATACTAAGGTAAAATACTGTAAGGTTCTGGAAAAAAAGACCTTGCACTTTGAGCTATACATCAGCCCAACTCTCACACAAGAGATTACAAGAAAGACAGGCTCTTTTGGGAGAAAGCACTGTGGTAGACTGGATTCTGGCTCCCCAAAAATATACATGTCCCAGTCCCCAGAATCCATGAATGTTACCTTATGTGGCAGAGAAGCCTTTATAGACGTTATTCAATTAATAATCTCCAGATGAGGAGATTATTGTGGATTATCCAGGTTGTCCTTCCCTGTGATCACAAGGGGCCTGTAAGAGGAAGACAGGAAGGCCAGAAGGAACAGAAGGCTACATGAAGGCACCAAGGGACAGAGAGGGAGATCTGAAGAGCTACACTGCTGGCTGTGAAGATGGGAAAGAGAGCCACGAGGCCACGGATGAAGGTGGCCTTTGAAAAGTGGGAAAGACAAGGAAACGGGGTTCTCCTGGATCCTCCGGAAGGAATGCAGCCCTGAAGACCCGTTGTAGGCTTCCAGCCTCCAGAACTGTGAGAGAATAAAGTTCTGTTGCTTTAAGCCACAGAGTTTGCAGTAATTTGTTCCAGCAGCAACAGGCTCCAAAACATTGTTTCTCTAAAGGAATCACTAGAAGCCTTTCTCCAGGTAAACAAATAGGGGGAGGCAGGAGATAAGAAGAGACGGTAGAGCAAAAGCACAAAACAAAACAGTAAATCTTTTAAATAGAAAAATATTGATGGGAAAAGTTAATACCTGTTTAGAATGAATATCCATGGTGATTTGGCATGAAAGGTGGTGGATTGGGAGTAAAGAAACGGTCAGTAAACTGTTTAAAGATTCTTGTATCATTAGCAGAACAAAAGAGGGCTCAGCTCATTCTAGAACTTTAAATGTGTGCATTAAGATACAGAAGACGAGAAAAACAAAACAAAAAAAGCAAAGAGAAAAAACAACAACCATGACAATAAAGACTGAACCAGCCAACAGATGTCAGGAAAGTAAAAAAACTGAAAGGAAGTAAATGAAGCTATAAAGTAAATTGGTATAATTTCAGTAATGTAAGCAGTCAGGCTACATGTGAACGCATTCAATTTTCCTAGTAAGAGGGAAATGAGAGAAAGGGACTGGCTCTCTGTTAGAAAAAGAAGGAAAGGGGTTGTTAGACCTGCCCCCCAAATAAATGCAAACCTCTTCTTTCCTTATCAGTTTGCCCTTTCCCTCTCCGTTCCTCTCTCACTGATTTTCTCTCTCTGTCTCTCTTTCCTCTCAGCACTGACCTACGTGCTAGTTAATGAGTTGTTTATTAATATTTCTTCCTGTCCAAGAAACTTTATTTTGGAAAAGGGCCAGGAGGAAAATTGTAGAATTTCTGAGTTTCAATTATGTAATGGAAAATTTGGGGGCCATGGTCGTAATGGAAGCAGATAAAAGCGGTGGTTCTGTCAGCTGGTCAGGAGATCAATCAAGTGTTGGGCAGATGGGATAATTGCAGACAATGGGCCAATCTTGTTTTAAAACAGCTTATTGAAAAATTTCCCCACATAACATTTACCCACCTCGGAGGAAATAATTTGCACTGAAAGTCACTATTGCAGAAACACGCTCATTAGTAAATAGAAACGGCGCTTACCCCCCCCCCCGCCAAGATAATGAACTGAATCACAAATTGAACTTAATACTTTGATAACCTTTAAAGATTATACACTTTCATCCAAATTAGTCCGTTTCTTTAAAAGGTATAGAAAAATTACCAGGAAAACACACAGACAAATGTTAAATGTTGACAAGTTGACACTGGAGAAATCTATACCCTTGTGTCTGGCTTTAAAGTGATGGTTTGCTTTGCTACCACCAGTTCTTAAATATTTTTACTTTACTTCAATCACCGGTTAAAGAATAACAACTGGACTCTCTTAAAGAGCTATTTTGTAGTTTAGCACACAAAAATGCCAGTGTGCTGAGCAATTCCTATTTTTTTCTGATACTGTGCTGATAGGATTGTGATTTTCTTCCATGACACCCTGGCTGGACTCATGTGGCCGTCCTCTCTGCCGTGGGCTTCCTTCCATTTGGGATCCCATGTCTCTAGTGATTCCGGTATAAATGATCTGTTTATCAAGTTGGAAA